TGCAGCACCGTAAGATATGCAACCGTAATCCAATTTACTTGTAATAAGGGATTTGTAAATTCTAATTAATGTTTTACAGTCGGCACCCAAAAATTTGTTAGATAATACTTTAAATATGTTTAACCGGTTTTGGCATGCTTGTTGTAATTTATTAATACGCACATTCCAATTTAATTTTTTATCAAAAGTTAGGCCTAAAAAACTTACTTCCGTTGACTGCTTTATAGGAAAATCATTGAATGTTAAATTAATTGTATGTTGAGTGTTTGTTGTATTTTTACTTAGAATTATGAATTGAGTTTTTTCTGTAGAAAAATTGAATCCGGTTTGTATTGCCCAGTTTTGAAGTCGATTTAACATAAGTTGTAATATATTTTTTGCTGAAACTAGGTTATTAGATTTGGTATGAATAACAGTATCAAGCTAGCTTTAATAGGAGCTTTAATTACATTAACGATGCTATTAAATGCCACTAAAAATAGGGTTGGACCTAAAATGAATCCTCGAGGGTTTCCCATTATATAGCATTTTTGGAGAACTTGTGATTCCATCTATTCTAACTTGTGTAGAACGACACTTAAGAAATTTTTTATAAAAGCAAGCGTGTTACCTTGAACTACATAATTATTAGGTGTTGCTAATATAGAGTGTTTCCAAGTCCTATCAAAAGCCTGGGTTAAGTCAAAGGATATTGCAATCAACTACTGATTATTTGCAAAGGCTTTATTGATTGAGGTCTGTAGTGAAATATAATTATCTAATGTAGACCGCCCCTTGCGAAATCCACTCTGAAATGGTGTAAGGAGATCTTTTGTTTCCAGATACCATGTTAGACGGAGATTTAAAATTTTTTCCAGTATTTTGCACATGCTGCATGTGAGAGAAATAGGACGGTACGATGAGGGTATATCTTTGGGCTTATTGGGTATAATAATGGGAATAGTTATTGCCTGAGACCAGAGTTTTAAAAATTTATGTTTGGAAAAACAGGTATTGAATAAATATAAGAATATTATTTTTGCTCTGAAAGGTACGTGTTTTATGAATATTGGTGGAATATCACCTTGTCCTGGGGATGTATTTTAGGAGGTTACAATAGAGTATTCTAGTTCGTGAAGAGTTATGGTAGCATTGAATGAATCACTAGAATTTTTATCAAGGATTTCGAATGATTCTATATTTTGCCTATGTAATAAGAATTCCGGCGTTATATTCTGGTCGCTAGCATTTTCTTGGAAAACTTCGGCTTAAGTTTCACCAATACCTTTTTTACAGATGATGATCTCATTATGATATTTATGTTAGTGCATTGATATGCCTAAAGCAGTTGGTAACTTTTCCGAGTACCTTTCCAAGTTTACGAATTTTATACCAAATAACCTGTGAAGGTGTTGAATTTATAGACGATACGTAGTTTTTCCAAGTATCTTGTTTGCTTTTTTTCATAAGATATCTTGATTTAGCTTTGAGTTCTTTAAAATTAAGTAAGTTTTCGACTGTATTTTGTTTTTTAAGGTTATTAAAGGCATGTTTACAAGATGAGCGTGCTTTTGCAATTTCACTATTCTACCAAGCCTACGGGTTGCCTTGTACAGGGTTTTGTCTTTCCTATATTTTCTAAAGCTGCTTCTATAATATTAATTTTAAAAGAGGTGATACCATTTTATACGATTGCTTAAATCGAAGTTTTCAAGTTTATTATTGATGTAGGATTGATGGGATGCCCAATTTGCGTTTTTTAATTTCCAGGATTGATATATTGGGAAATCAAGTGGATGAATGTGATCTGATGTTATAGAAATTTGAAAGTGGTAACTATTGTATAATCAGATCAAAGTGTTCCATGACAATGTAGTTGAGAGCGATTGACTGCATAAGGATATAACAATGGCGGAAAATGAGCCGTTATAAGAATTAAATCTAGTTGGATTCCCTGTATTGAGTAAGAATAAATCAGAACAATTAATTAGGTTTTTCAATAGGTTACTGTATTTATCAGTTTTGTGACTTCCCCATGCCGGTTGGTGGCAGTTCATATCTACTAAAATTAATTTAGGATGTGAATTTGGTCAATAAGAGTATTTAATTCGTGCATATCTAGATTACTATGGTGTGGTAAATAAATGTTACATATGTTAATCTTTTTATGATAGGTAATAGAGACTAAAACAGTAGTAGCTAGTACGTAGCGCGATCGGTTTAGCTTCCAAATCATCTTTGGTGAAAATAGCTACTCCACCACTAGCTTGTTGAGCTATTAGATTATTTTTAAAACATTAAAAGTTTTTTAAATTTATGTTATTTTGTTTGAAGAAGGTTTCGTTTAGACAAATAATTAAAGGGGATAGCTCGCCGATTAGTAGTTTTAACTGTTCATAATGGGTATAAAACCCATTTATGCTCCATTTATGCTCCATCCTTCAACTAGTGATGATTCGTCAGTTTCGACAGCTGAAAAAGCGTTAGGGTTTAGTCGGGTGATATTATTTCTTAACCTAGAATTTTGTGTGTAACAATAAGCAAAGTGAAGGATCTGGACAAGCTGCTCTGGTTCATTGGAGTAATCTTTAGAAGTTAATTCAGGGTTATGAGAGTTTAAAACATTTTCCATAAAATTACATATTTTATTGAAATTTGGTGATTTGGGTAATCTATTTTTGATTTTGTCTTTGATGGATTCTAGAGAGCGAATGACATCTTCGCAGGGGGTTTTGGAAGAGGTTTTGGGTTTCTTTGTTGGTTTATATTTTTTATTTCTGATGTCGTAGAAGTAGAAGACGAATTGTTTGGATTATCTTTAGATGTGTTTTGAAAGAGGTCGGTTTCCGTAGATTAATGTATTTTATCATTAGGTCCATTAGGTTTAAATAATGACGATGTGGTTTGAGTTAATTCTGAGAGTTGACTTGAAGGGGTATCATTAGGTTCATGAGGTTTAGATAATGATGATATGGTTTGGGTTGAATCTAAAAGGGTAGTTAAATTATTTTGGTTAGAAATATGAGAACATTCTGATTCTTGATGACCATTGGTTTTGCACTTGGTTCAACTGAATCCGTCTATGAAGAGAAATACTCTGTAGGAAGTATTATCATCAGTTATGGTAAAAGAGTTAGGAATAGACATATTTTCCAGGGGTGTAATAAATGATTGCCTTTTAAATAATAAAAATTTTTGGCAATAATTAAACCTCAAAAATCAAAATTTGGATATGCATCGAAAATTGAAAAGAAAACTTGGAGAAAGTCTAAGAATTTGCCTGTAAAAGTTTGAACCTTCAAAGTGACCACCAGGTCACTGGTGGTGTTTGACCTGGTGACCACCATGTCAAAGTCAACACCAGGTTCGACATACATGCAACTTAAACAACTTTCAAAAGAGATAAAGCAGTATGGTTATACAATCTCAAACATAAAAGAGAACTATGTCCCAAACTTTATCGAAACTAGGAGGGACCGTAGATACTCCTGAAGAAAATAAGCAATATATCTTGTTAATTTCAATTAGTTCCTGATAGACCAGTTATTCGGGAAAAACTATAAAGAATGAAGTAAGGTTACGACATTACATTTCGTTACGAAATATCTAGTAATGTCTAAAACGTGAGAAAATATATATAAACACAGAAAGTTGACAAATTAGATTACAGTACCTAGTATGTTAAATAGTTCTCATTATGTAATAGTTATAAACAGTTTATTCAGTTTGTAAAAATTGTTGGTGTTTAAATATAGTTATTTAATAAAGTGTAACAATACATTTATTTTGATATTTAGATTACCACTTCACAATAGGGATGTGTAGTTCACCATCGAAATAGTTCAAATGAACGATTCTTTCAACTGAACAATTTGAACTAGTTCATTAATTTTCATAGAACTAGTTAATTGCGAACGATTTGCATCATACATTGTGTCTCAACTTTTAAAGAAGAAAATAATAAATGAAGGAGATCATATATTTATTATTTTGCGAATGGGATGGATTGACTAATTTAAAACAAGAAATGCTGATTAGACTCTGATAACAGATAATTCTTATGAATGTGACAATAATATAAGCAGTCTTATCTTAATGTCATAATGAAAATGAAAATGTGTTATTTAATGTTCCTAGAAAATTAAATGATTTTTTTTGTAAAGGTTCCTTTAGAAATAATCTAATTATAGATACTTGAGTTTAAATATACGTAAATATAAAAATAAATCATACGTGAACCATATTCGGTTAATAAAAAACAAATCTTAATAATTTTTTGCAAATAAAAACCAACTAATCATATAATAATTTAAACCATTTAAACCTAAACATACGATCAAAAGAAATGGTTCCGAACTACTTGTAGTGAAAAACTATCTGAAAACCAAAGAAAACGGGCGGCCGGCGCCAATCTTGTGTGATCATTGAGACATTGAGATGACTGTGATCATCTGGCAACCAGTTATGTTAGGGTTTAATTTCGATTTCAGTCCTACAAATAGTTCTTTTGCGAACTAGTTCACTGAACTAGTTTATTTTTGTGAAATACTTCTCTTGAACTAGTTCGTCTACAAGAATTAATAAGCACACCTCTACTTCACAAATCGTTGTCAAAATACGGATTAATTTACGAACGATAACCAAAGTGGAAAATGAAACGTCAAAATAAATGTATTTTCAACTAAAATTGTGGTCAATTCCAATTAAAGATAGTAAAAGTAAATGAAGAAATATAAAATAACATTGTCTCAGATTTCTTCTGTTTGATTTAATTTAAATAATTTATGTTAACTATATTATAACATGTTATCTAATCTGTTTTTCGTAAATAGAATCCATTTCAGAACGCTGACCTTATCTTCAGATCATTATATTTAATAATATAATGATCTGAAGTAAAAATTCCGTTATCACATTTAAAAAATCATGCAATCAATCTATTTACGCAAATACCTAAAAACATTATTTTAGAAACACTTATATTTTTAAGATAATATAGAAACGATTTCAAATACTGACAATATACTTAACAACAATGTTGAGATAGTTTTTCAAAATATTTTGGTGAATATGTGGTCAACGGTTTTTATGATTATTCTGGTATTAACACCAAGTTTTGGAGTAAGTATTGCGTATTTTTTAATTATAAAATGAATATATTTTATTCAGTAAAGTGAAAAAAAAAACAAAATTATACCGTTCAGAAGATTATGCTCATAATACTTTTTTAGCTCAGATTATTAATCTTAACCTGTCTTGTGTTATAAAACTTACAAATCTATAATTACAGCAGTAAGTCGCTATATCCTTCCTATCCTTATGCAGTGTTGGTGGTCTCTCTCTAGGTCTGGCACCATTAACATTTTCATCTACAATTTTTTTCATGTTGTTATTTTGTCTATCAGCATGATTAAAGAGTAACGTGAAATATCGTGGAAAATATTCCTATGTAAATTTAAAAAAAAATGTAGCAATATAGTTCTAAAATTTTTAAAATAGTAAATATATTTGTCTGTTTACTTATTGTCTACGTATTGTACCGTATTAAACAAAAAAGAAACAATTGAAATCATTGTCATTTACTTTCGCAATAATGGCTGTGTAAGAGCCGATACTATTTTAATGGGAATAAGTCATAATTAAAGGTTACAATAAGTTTATTGATGTTTTTATTTTCACTTGGAAAATTGTTCTTAAAATATAAACATCATTAATAAATTAAACAAACTGTGTTTTTTGTTACTTGGTGAAAATTTCTTTTAATAATTTAATTATGTCTGAATTTATCTTTAAATCAAGTTTATCTTGAGAATATACATTAGAAAAAAATCATAGCATGTAACTCGTCTTTAAAAATAGAACCACATGTGACGATAACAGTAAAATTCTCCTGTTAGTGATTCAATAGTAAATCATAAGGAAAAAACAGGAAACAAAACCAAAGTATTTGGTCTTACATTTAGTATACTTTCACTAGATATTAAATTCTGATTTTATATGTTTGTTTTTTATAAAAACATAAATAATGTATTCTCGATATGTTACTGACTTACTAATATTGGTATTTAGTTTTTAATATCTACCTCTTTTAATATGGGTAACCAGATTCTACTGCATTCTGCCGAGGAATTTGAAAATACCAGTATTATTAAGTAACATATCGAGGAATCATTATTTATGTTTTTTTAATACTTACTTACTTACTTAATCAGTAGACCCATTTGTATCTTTCGGTGTTGGGCCGTTTATAATACAATTCTTTATATTACAATATCTTACAATCTTCTGAGGTGTCCTAGCACTTAAGGAACTTTCTTCATTCATTCCTATTTTATGCCATCTGTGCTGCTTCCTACCAAGTCTTACCCTTACTCTACAGCATCTGCGATATGTCACTGTTCCATTCTTTAATGGGTCTTACTCTTCTGTTCTTCCCTATTGGTTTGGCGTCCCACACTCTTTTTACTTATTCATTATTGTCCATCCGGGTTAGATGTCCGAACCATGCCAATGTTTTCCCCTTGATTGAGTCGAGTATCAGTTTGATTTTGACTCTTTCTCTTATTTCTTTATTTCTGATTCTATCAGTTCTTTTTACTCCGATCGTTTTTCTAAGGTATTTCATCTCTGCTGCCTGAATTCTGCTTTGATACCTTTTGTTTAGTATCCAATTTTCTGCTCCACATATCACTGTAGGTCTATATATATTTTTGTATATTGTCGTCTTGGTCTTTGTTGATATTTCTTTGTTATTAAGGAATCCTCTATTTAGTGTTGGAATAGTTTTCATGTGTTTTCTATTCTGTTGTTAAGATCGTCCTCGATGTCTCCTTTGTTGTTGATTACTGTTCCTAAGTATTTGTATGACTTTGTCTGTATTAGTTTTGTTGGTCTATCATTATTTCTAGCTTCCGTCCCTTGTTTCCTTGATATTTTCATTATGTGAGTCTTCTCTTTGTTTACGTTTAAGTTGTATTTGCTTGCTTCTATTTGCTTAGGTTCCATTTCTCTAAGTTGAATTTCAGTTTTTCTGCTGTTTCCGAAATTAATACTATGTCGTTTGCAAATATACAGATGTTTTCTTACATTCTTTCACTATCTCATCTATTACATTTATGAATAGCACTAGACTGAAACTTCCCCCTTGTCTAACTCCTTTAGTTGTTTCAAATGTTTCAAATGTTGACTCTATATTTGACATTCTTACTGTGTTTGTTGTTTTCATGCATATACTCTTTGTTGCTTCTATCAGTTCTTCACTTATTTGTTTCTTCTTTAGGCCTCTCCATATATCTTTTCTTTTGACTGAGTCGAATGCTTTTTATATCTCTATAAAGCTCAGATAATATTTCTCTAGTCACAGTCACATCTAGTCACATCGGTTCCTGGTGCTTTTCCAATCTTTATCTTTCTTATTACTTCTTCCAGTTCTTCTTTTTATATTTTCCGTGTTTTTCATGGATACTGTTTAGATGTGGCTTTCTTTCTTCTTTGTATTTGCTTTATTTCCAATCAGTATCAGCTGGAAATGTTCCCTACATCTTTCCATTATTGTCTTATCGTCGTTTATTATTGTTCCTTTCTTGTTCATTATTTGTTTTAGTTTCGTTTCTTTGTTGCTTTTTAGGGTTTTCAGTGTTCTATAAAATAATTTTACGTTTTCTTCCATTTTTTCTCCGAATTTTTCCCAAATTTTCTTTTTCTCTTTTTTAACTATCTCTTTAACTTTTGTTCTTTTTCTCTTATAATTTTCATATTTTGGTTGTATTTATCTTGTATGTATTCTTTTCATATTTTCTTCTTTTCTTTTTTCTCTTTTCACTTCATCGTTCAACTAAAATGTACGTTTTCCTCTGTTGTTATTTCTTGTAGTTCCACATATTGATTAAGCTCTTTTTATCATCGCATTTTTAAATTTTATCAATTCTTCTTCTATTGTTTCTGTTAGTTTATGTTCATTGTCTATCTCTGTCTCTAACCCTTCTGAGTATCTTATCTTCGTTGTTTCTTTTCATAGTTTATAAATTTATTGTTGTTATGTTTATTGTCCATCTCTTTCTCTAGCCCTTCTGAGTATCTTATCTTCGTTGTTTCTTTCCTTAGTTCATAAGTTTATTATTTCTTTGTATTTTCTGTTTATGTTCTTATTTCTTTCTATTTCTTTTCTTTTGCTTTTGAATGTGCTTTCTAGTACATAGTGGTTACTACCAATTTCATAACTCCTTTTCACCCTTACGTCTCTTATCCAGTTTTTCTCTGTTTTTTGGACTATAGTATAGTCTATAATTGATTGTTCGTCTCTTGATTTGAATTCTCTTGTTATCTTGTGTATCCTTTTATGTTGGAAGTGTGTGTTCATAATCACCAGGTTATTGTCTATACAGAATTCGAGTAGAAATTTTCCATTTGTGTTTATTTTTGCCTCCCCATAGGATCTGTAATCACAATTTTCTCTATACAACCATTTATTACTTCTTGTAATTTGTCCCAGAACTCATTATTTTCGTTTTTTGTGGCGTCCTCATCTGGTGCTTAGGATATGATTAAGTTTGTATTGGTTTTCTCTGTATCCATATCTATTTCTACTCTTAGTATACGTTTGTTGTAATCCATCTAATTTTTCACTTCGTTGATACTGTCCTTCTTTATCTTGCACGCTACTCCTGCGTGAGCTCTCTTGGTTTCTTCCTCTCCTCTGTGTATTAGTAACATTCCGTTTTCTAAAATTATTGATCCTTTTTTTTTTCTTTGTCTCGGTTAGAGCTACTATTTCAATGTTGTTATCTCTAATTTTTTCCCCCAGTTCTATTTCCTTCTCATTTATACCTCTTACATTCCATGATGCCATTTTCAGAGTTGTTTTGTTCTTTTCTGTGTTAAAATTGTACTTCAATTTGTTTTTCTTTCGGCTTGTGTTGTTATCTTTAAGTCTGCCCATGTCTCTGTTCTGTGCCTGCTTTTGTTTCTCGGCCCGTTATTGTGTTCACCTTAGTTCACCTTGTGTAGCACCTTAGATCATATATAAGTAAAAAGAATACTTTTCAAAAGGTCAAAGCAATACAATATCTCTCTGGATAGATATAAAGATTACGAGAGGGCAATTGATTTTTGATATTAGAGCTGATTACCTATATACAAAAATCATTAAGTATATATACGACAATGCAACATCGCAAGTAAAGATATAAGAAAAAATAACAACACAAAACTGCAGAGAGCGTTTAGATGAGGGTCTGTTTAAATTATATTTTACCCAAGATTTAAACTTAAACCCTATAGGAAATGTTTTAAGCTTTAAAAGAGGAAAATAAAGGAGGGACGATAGACAGCGAAAAACTGAGCCTCATGAGATTTGTCGATGATGTTTCGTTAATAACAAAGACAGATAAGAATTACAGGAAATGCTATTAGACCTAAAACTGAGTATATAACTGAAGAATAATAGTAAAAACTTTGAGTCGTATGTATACAATATATTTGGGTATTGTTTTTATTATGTTAGATGTATTGATGAGATTGCCCATGTAACAAAACGTTCTAAAACAGTTTATATTCAACTTTCTAATGGAAACTTCAGGTGATACTAACAACGATAATCAGTGTTACTAAGGTCAAAATGATCTTCTTCTTAGAGTGCCATATCCTTACGGAACGTCGGCGACTACCATGCTTATAATATTATTATACTGATCTCGGTCTTCCGCTACGTGTAGCAATTGGTCCGCTGTCAAAACTGTCCACTGCCGCAAATTCCTCTACCAAGAGAGTTTCTTCCGTCCTATCCATTTCTTTCCTTTGATTATACCGTTGAGAATTAGCCGAATGAACTCATATATTGGTCCCCTGATTATATGTCCAAGATATTCTAGTTTACGCCTCTTAATAATATTTAATAGAGTTCGTTGATGTCCCATTCTTCAAAGAACTTCTTCGTTTCTGGTTCTGCTAGTCCATGGAATTTTTAGTATCCTTCGATACAACCACATCTCAAACGCCTCGATTTTATTCATGATATCGGCGTTTAAAGTCCAAGTTTCACATCCATACAACAGTACAGACTACACGTAACATCTTGTAAACTTTTCACGGATTTCCAAATTTAATGAGTTATTGGATAATAGAGGCTTGAATTTTTGAAATGAGTTTCTTGCCTGTTCAATTCTACATCGAATTTTGAAGGATGGATCTAGATTTTTGGTAATCCAACATCCAAGGTATTTGAATATCTGAACTCTCTGCAGCGGTTGCTGGTTTAATATCAGTTGGGTTGTGCCGATATCCACTTTACTGGTCACCATGTATTTAGTTTTATCGATAAATAGTGTCAAAATGATGATAACCCCTAATTGTGTCTTTATATATTCCATTTTTTTAATTAGTTTTACCTAAAATATTGAACAAAATCAACAAAAAAATAAGTAAAAACATTGTAAGTTTAAACGTATAGTATATCGACTGTTGCAGTAGTTTTTCTTCAGACAACATTTTACCTTTCTTTATAATTAACTCTTTCTTTGTTTTAGAGTGATGATTTGATTGTGAATTTAACTGCTGGAATTATACGCGGACATGTACTACAAAGTTATGAAGGAAATAATTACTACGCTTTCCAAGAAATTCCATATGCTACACCACCTATTGGAGAAAATAGATTCCAGGTAAATCAGTGAATCACTTAAAAATTTTTTGCGTTTAGCAAGTACTTCCTTGTGGAATTTTTTGTTTTAATTTATATATATTGAAAATATATATCTAGGCTATTGATGATGTACTTTAGAAAGGAACTACAACATCAAAGGGGTTTTATTGCTTCATATGGTCAATGGAACATATGAAAAAACCGAGGAGTAATACCATTTATAGGGAAGCGCCTTTGGGAAAGGAGTGAATTTGTCCATATGCACTATGTTGCATTTGGGTGAATTCTGAGTAGTGTTTGTACATATATATATATATATATATATATTATATATATATATATATTATATATATATATATATATATCTACAGAAATATATATCTACAGAAAAGTTGTCCAAAATTAAATAACCTATCAAAATGTCACCTTTTAGAGTAAAAAAAATAATTTTTTTGGCAAAAATATCTTTAAAAAACGAAGCAAAAAAAACAGGAACGCGATTTTTATTTTTTGTCTCATATCTGTTTTTGACTGGTTATAAGTAAAGTAAAAAAAAAACATTATTTTATTCTTTTTCTTCAAAATGACATTTGGTAGAAGTCTGTAGGATTTACACTATCCAAGATTGTAGCAATTATTTGGTATATAAATTATTTGATATTATATATATATATATATATATATATATATTATATATATATATATATATTATATATATATATAAAAATATAAAACTGTTTTTGATGGGTTGGAGTCAATAAAAGGGGCTATTTGTTGACTATTTTTTACTCGAGCTTTCAATTGTGATTACAATTTTTATCAAGAGCTTCTAAAAAATACAAAATATCTTACAAAGTTGAACTAGAAATAAAAAATTTTTTGTTAACTCATTTTATTTCTAGTTCAACTTTGTAAGATATTTTGTATTTTTTAGAAGCTCTTGATAAAAATTGTAATCACAATTGAAAGCTCGAGTAAAAAATAGTCAACAAATAGCCCCTTTTATTGACTCCAACCCATCAAAAACAGTTTTATATTTTTTCCAAACGAGTCACAAGTACTTCTTTTTTCTTCCTATATATATATATAAGAATTATATATATATATATATATATATATATATATATATATATATATTATATATATATATATATATATATATATATATATATATATATATATATATATAATTCTTTGGAGGGTAACTTTCGGGAAAGCGTCAAAACAAGGATCAGCTAGAGATGGTATAAGCCAGTTTGGTGTAGAACTTTATTCTAAATGTGAAATTTTCGGTGATATGTTGTCACCTTCATCAGCACCTAAATGGAAAACCTATTTTAGTACAAGTGGTGGAAATCAACATTTAAAAACCTACATTGAAAATGTTCAGTTGGTCCTAGTGGTGAAGAACACTGTCACAAACATGTTAAAAATATTAAAAAATACATTTAAAACTTTGAATAAAAACATTACAACACAACAGGGTATTTTTTCAAATACAAACACAACAAAAAAATCTAAAATTTAAAACCTACAAAAACTGCAACTTCATGTTAAAGGTAGAAAAGAAGAATTATTCTTCTTTTTTGATGACATATTTCTGATTTCTGTCAATATCCGGGTGTCATATGTAACGAGGTTATAATTTTCACGTTTGTACCTCATGGATATGGAAAGAAAGAACCCAAGGAAACACAATCAGCAGGGAAATGAAGTCTTTTCTCAAGTACAGGTAGGTAATCTATGCATGTTATGATAAGTTCCCTACATTCTCCAGTTTGTTACATCTTGTCAAGTCCTGTTGAAGTAGAAAGGAATAAATACAACTTAAGTTTTCAACATCTTTCTTACAGTTCATAGAAGAGCTGCAGTTATGGATGTAGCACATTTCTATGAAGTTTCTCTTAAATTGGTTGTCAACCCTCTTTAGTACTTGCACATTTTCATAGTTAGCAATGTGTCCAGTATTCTTAATATGTTGGCTAAAGGCTGTGCAGGTGGGCTTCCTCACTACATCACTCTTGTGCAAAGCTATTCTTTTTGAGAGTTTCTGGCTGGTTTGACCGACATACACTTCTGAACAAGAACCACATGGAATAGAATACACTACATTGAAGTTATCCAGTTTTTTAACTCTTTCTGTCAGGTGAGTAAAGTATGTCCCTAATCTTTTGTACACTGAATTTGCTATCACTATGTTGAACTGTCTGAAAAGGTTTGTGATCTGTGGTGATAAACCTCTGATGTAAGGCAATCTCCCATAGAAAACTTCTACTGTTTCTCCTTCTAATGTTTGTCTTTGGTGTGTTCTAACTGTTGGCATATCTTGGAATAGCAGTTTATTAAGAAGCATCTTAGGGTAGTGATTTTTTCTAAGAATCTCATACAATAACTTGATGTTCTTATTGTAGTTAGAAGGGTGACAAATTCTTTTTATTCTGTTTTTCAGACCTTTGATGATGTTAATCTTCTGCTCGTCTGGATGATACGAGTGAAAAGGCACATATCTACCTGAGAATGTTTTCTTTCTGTACCAATCCAACCTTACTGTGTTGTTCTTATGTCTGGTTACATAGGTGTCGAGGAATGGAACACTATTATTTTCTTCTGTTTCAACAGTGAATTGTAGGTGAGTGTTATATGAGTTGAAAACGTCAAGAGTGTAGTTGATTTTGTCTGCAGGGACTGCACATATGAGGTCGTCTACATATTGGTAAATGAAGGGGAACTGGAAATCAACTTCTTGAGTACAGTAATGAAGTAGGGAGTTCATTACAATTTCTGCCAAAGTTGGGGATATAGCTCCACCCATGGGTGCTCCTTTTATTTGGGCATAGAATTCATTTTGAAAAGTGAAATATGTATTGTTGTATAAAAAGTTAGTTGTCATAATAGAAACTACCAGTTCAAGAGGGATGTTGGTAAACAAGGAAGTAACATCAAAACTCACCAAGACATATCCTGAAGGTAGTAAAAACCCATTGATCTAATTTGCAAATTCAAAAGAATCTTTAATTTTGTAGGTATTATGAGAAGAAAAAGAAGTGTCAATAATACCTGCCAGATATTTAGCCAAGGATTGAGTGGGGGCATTCTTACAATCAATTATAGGACGTAGAGGGCACCCTTCTTTGTGAATTTTTGGAAGTCCATAGTATGTTGGGGTAGTACCGGTGTAGTTGGTTAATTCTTTTTTTGTTTTGGTGGTAATATATCCTTCTTCATGTAGTTGTTTTATTAGTAAGTTGGTGTTTCTTTCTACTGATGGAGTCAGATCTTTGGGGATTTTTTTATAGGAATGTGGGTCATTGAGAAGTTCAAATGATTTGCTGATGTACTCGCTTCTGTCCATTATGACTATAGTGTTACCTTTGTCTGCTCTTGTTACTATAATATCAGGGTTGTGTTTCAGAAGTTTTCTCGTTTTGTTTCAATGGCCATGGATGGAGTGATGTAATAACGGTTGGTTTTGATGTGGTTGGTAATGACATTCGTGATTTTTGAACGTTGCAAATTCTGTGAATCTGTAGGAAGTTTCTTAATACAGTACTCAATGTCTGCTAGGTATGTGTACATGTCAATATCTTTCACTAAGATTGGTAGTGAAAATTTTGGACCTAGTGATAGAAAAGATTTTATGTCTTGAGGCAAAGTCACTTTGGATTGATTTAACAACCATGTATTTTCATTTGTAGTTGTGAGTGAAGCTAAACGATCTTTAAGTTGGTTAAGTTTTGAGATGTTGCTTCTTTTTATACAGTATTCAACTTCTTTTATATTGATTTTTATATCTTTTGTCCTGTAGTCTCAGGAAATCAGACATCATGTTGTAAGAGAGTTTGCTGTTAAGATACTCTTTTGATTTATCTATGTTTATCTGTAAATTTCTGATTGATTTTTGTGTTAGTTTCATTAATAGTGATATTTAGAATCCTCTTTGTTACAAGATTTCTTAAGTATGATATTTTTCTTGTATTTTCATTTTCTGTATTTTCAGGTATTGAGAGGATCCTTTCTGTACCCTGTTGTAAAAATCTAGGAATTATGTTGTTTCCCCTGCATTCGTACAGGAAGATGAGCCTGTTCTTTGCTGAAGCCATTTTTGTTAGTGATGACATGTAAGTTTTCGCATGTTTAACTCCATTGTTACCGTCAATGTTCTTTATCATAACATGCATAGATTACCTACCTGTACTTGAGAAAAGACTTCATTTCCCTGCTGATTGTGTTTCCTTGGGTTCTTTCTTTCCATATCCTTGAGGTACAAACGTGAAAATTATAACCTCGTTACATATGACACCCGGATATTGACAGAAATCAGAAATATGTCATCAAAAAAGAAGAATATTTCTTCTTTTCTACCTTTAACATGAAGTTGCAGTTTTTGTTAGGTTTTAAATTTTAGATTTTTTTGTTGTGTTTGTATTTGAAAAAATACCCTGTTAGGTTGTAATGTTTTTATTCAAAGTTTTAAATGTATTGTTTAATATTTTTAACATGTTTGTGACAGTGTTCTTCACCACTAGGACCAACTGAACATTTTCAATGTAGGTTTTTACATAGTGATTTCCACCACTTGTACTAAAATAGGTTTTCCATTTAGGTGCTGATGAAGGTGACAACATATCACCGAAAATTTCACATTTAGAATAAAGTTCTACACAAAACTGGCTTATACCATCTCTAGCCGATCCTTGTTTTGACGCTTTCCCGAAAGTTACCCTCCAAAGAATTGTATTCTAAGCGTCGTTATACACACTCTATTTACAATAGTTGACTACAAAAATGGGATTCTTACAATAGATAAAGAACATTGACGGTAACACTGGAGTTAAACATGCGAAAACTTACATGTCATCACTAACAAAAATGGCTTCAGCAAAGAACAGGCTCATCTTCAACAGACATTTTTTTTAATAATATTTTGCTTTCGTTAAAATTTAAAGATTTAATATTTAAAATTGTTAATTTTGGGTTTTGACTTTAGCTGTTATTTTATTTGTTTTCAGTTTTTAAAATTTAATGTTAACGTATGACAGCTGGTTTTATTATTTTTGATATTAATTTGTTTTGTTTTAAAAAAGGTTAACCTCTATGCAGTAACATTTGTAAGGTTTTGTAGTATCTCTAACTCCTAGAGTTTGTAAATGGATAATATGTAAGTTTTTTTGTATTTTTGTATTTTGCAGACTATTGATGTAATATTTTTGCATTGTCTATTTTGTAACTGTTTGTGTAATTCTTACGCAGATTTAGGTATAGATTTTTGGTAAATTGATATTTTCCGTTTTCCGCACCCCCTATGAGGGACGGTTTTATGGACTAAGAGTAACAAACGTTTTTGCATGTTTTCGGGGTTTTAAAATATAAATATAACATTCTTAGCAACAAATTCTTCTAAATCAACAAAGTAGAAGAAGAGAAGATTTCCATTGATGAAATCAAAATTCAGATTTTTGCTTTACTTTGTGACTTCTATTAATTACAAGACAAAACAGACGATAATAAAGATATAAGAGAGATATGAGGAATCTAAAAGTTGCATTTCACAACATATCTCCTCATCTAAGCAAAAATCCTCGGCGAATTGGTTTCTTGTACTCACAAAGAGTGAACTGAAGTAAAAGAAAAGACTATTCGCGCATAGTTAACTATGCATGACGTACTTTATACACTACAAGAAAATACACTCTAAAGCAGCAGTTTTGTTTATTTATTTTTTTTTAAATACACTTAGTTGTTTGTTATAAACCGTATTTATTCACATATTATTAATATTGAACATTTTGAGTAAGTCAGATAGAATGAAATTATTATCAACAAACTTTTTGAAAACAAAGAGCCATAATACTTGTGTGCAAGTAACAGTAGCAACAGAATTATTTTTGCAGACTGATATGAGACAAATGCTGCATGTTGTCGTTGTAGTCCGGTTTTTTTGCCTGCCACAAGAAAAACACATTCCCCGTACTTTTGCCGGTGGTTTGTCATTCCGTTGAGCTATTTCATGGAGCTTATATGTATTTAGAAAAAATCAATCTTATGTTTGATGGCAAAGTATTTATCTCAGCTCGTTCTGAAAGATGTGGCTTTATCAATGATATTGCTAACGATTTTAAAAAATTCTTCTAAAGTTGGTTCGACTGTTAAACTGAGTAAAATAATATAATTGTTATAACAGATTTTTGAAGTCTGGTTAGCTTTGTTTTCATATCATGCTTTAGTTTTAATCTAGCTGGTACTGTCAGTAATTCATCTAGCTCTCCTTGCCTGTCTTCATGAATTATCGCTGTCACAGTACAGACTGCATTTGAAACACCGTAGATAAAAGCTCCTTCAGTAAACTCTGGATCCCAGGTCCTCTGGAGATATTTAAACTGAACTTTAGTTTTAAGCCACCTGAATATTCGAGGTATATAAATGAGATCGGGCGTTTTTGGCAAACTTGAGTATTGTCTTATGGTTGTATTTACAATGTCCTATGCGAAAAATTGCCTCTGTGTCTGTGAATATGTGAGATGGTATATCTTCTGAAAATTTGAAAAAATATAACTAAAGGCAACCTATCGGTACGTCTTAAAACTTAATACATAGAGCACATTTTGTTTACGATGTCAACGCCATATTTGTGAGAAATATAGTCCCTAATAATTTTGGGCTTATTAGTGGCGTGATCTATAAAGAAATAGACATCGTGGGAAGTAAAATAACCGCTTTGTCCTTTTTTGGGACAAATGATACGTGTAGATTATAAAAAGTGTAGCTTCCGGTTGAAATCCAAATAGGGATAAATCTTCTATTCAATTTTTATGGGGTAAAAGATTTTTTGGGATCTCTCTTTTATTTGTTTTTTATTGTTCCAACTATTTCGATTCGATTCGATTTTTTTTATGCCCATTTGGTTATTGTCCAAATTCTCACAGTACAACTTCATGCCTCTCACATAAAATGTTTGTAAGTCCCACAATACGAATACTTTTATCCCATATTTGGCTGGCTTATTTGGGATATACTGTAAAAAGCTACATCTCTTTCCAAAAGGAATACGCATTTCGTGAATAGTCAGATGTTCACCTAAGTTTGTCAGTAGCTTTTCTTTAAGCTCTTGTATTTTTATTGTCCAATCTAACGAAAGAAGAACATAAAAGAAATAAAAATCGGTTGCAGCTCCTGCAAGCTGTGAAAATTTCAGAACCCGTTGTATCAGTTGTCCACAATTCCATAAAATATGTGTGTGAACTTGTTTTTTTGGGCCTAGTTAAAAACAAAAGTTGCCATAATTTTAGATTTGGTTTTATTTAAAGCTTCTCTTTCGCGATTGTAATTCGGACACATCTTTTCTTTTTGCATATTGATACATACCACAATATTTCCAATAATGCTATCAGTTAACAGTTTAACGAAAGCACTAGACAAATTTTACAATATTCGTTTTGTTAGTTTTACTAAACTTACTTTTTAAATAATACTTATACCATTTTGTTTTATCCTTATCTTCATAGAAAAGTCTTCTGAACTGGGTTCATTTTCATTTTCGCTAGAAGTTTCACTTGAATGTCCATTACTTGGAGTTTTTTATCAGTAAGTCAATTGGGATTTCTAACTGGAATCTGATCGATAAAAAATAAAAGTATGTACTAATAAAAATTTTTATCTACATGAAAACAAGTATTGTTTGTAAAGAAAAATATATTTTGTGCCACACTGTACCCAAACACCTTTGAAAAGGAAGGCCTTTGCTTAGAAAAATATGCTATAAGGTATGATAGGTGGAAAGTCCAAATTTATAATAAATATATTTATTTTAGCTCCCCAAGCCTCCGAAACCATGGGATGGAATCCTTAATACCACTAAGAATACTAAAGTGTGCCAACAGGTTAACAAGTACGTGTTAGAGAAAACTGAGGACTGTCTATATTTAAATGTATATTCACCTGTGGTAAGTAGAAATACCATAGATAATGCTAAAAATTTGAACAAAAATTATTGTATTCTTCATACAAACCATAGACGTATAAATAAAGAAGGACCGGGCTATTTACATCTGTACATGAAGCCATGAGATCGTCACAGTCATAGACACAATTGACGTTGTCATATTATTTTTTTTCCAAGCGAATCTTCGAAATAATTTTCGATTTTTAGTATAATTTAATTTTAATTTATAGATAAAAATGTATTATTTAGTTAGTATAAACTATTTTTAGATATACTCATTTCGCAACCAAGGAATTAAAAGAAAAACATTAATTTTTTAATTTATTAAAAGAAAATATATTCTGATAATGTTAACTTTATGTAAAACTTGGCATTATTAGTAATATTAACCAATCGTAGTGATTTGACGAAAAGGAATATGGCGTTGTACTGTTTACCTTTGAGTTGATAATTTCCTTTTTTGTGACATTTTAGTGAATTTGTTAATATTTTCATCCAGAACTGTCATTTCGTTCGTAAGTAAACATTGGAATTACGTCCATGAGCGTAGTACAGGGATGTGATATTACTTAATTCTTGACATGAATTGAAATTAAATTTTGTGAAATAAAGTAAATCTTGTCGTATTATAAATACATTTATTTATTTTTTCTAATCTACACTATAATTGCTATAAATATATTAATTTCAAAGAAATATCATATGCAGGTTCCCAGTAAAGAATCAACAGCTGCTAGATATGTGGTTGTCTATGTTCGGCTTAAATAAAGAACAAGTAACCAAAACTGCTATGGTCTGCTCAGAACACTTTAGAAAGCATGATCTAATTATACAACCAAGTGGACGGGTTAATATGAGGAAAGGAACTGTTCCAATAAATATTTATCATAAATCATCAGAACTAAGGTAACTATAACGAATTTCTATGTAATTTACTATACAGAGTATAATAAATATAATGCACACGCATAGCATATTAATTCAATGTTTCAGTTCTACAAACGATATGGAAAATAAAGAAACAACTTCCAGTAGTATTGATATGGATGATTTTTATGGACCGTCAAAAAGGTGAGTTTGGATCGAATTTGTTAATTAAATTTACAAATAAATCTAAATGTGGATTTTAATTACTTATTTCATTTTAATATTAAAATTACTCACAGTATTTTAGGAGTTTCATTGATACTGAAAAATGTAATATGGAGACAGACTTGGGCCTTAATGTAAAATCTAATTCTCCTAAAAAGGAGGTGAGTTTTGGATAAATTTTGTATAAGATTATTTCAATCTTAAACCAATTTTAATATTTTTCTTTAATGTACATAAATTGATTATTCTAGATGTTTAAATGACAATGAAGAAAACAAGGAAAGTATAGATATAGAAAATGCACCTTCGAGCACCATTACAGCATCAGAAACTGAAACTGTAGAGTTGTTACTTGGTGATAATACTTTTTCATATGTTCCACGTAATATTTATAAAAAGTGAGTTCTTAGTTTAATTTATAAAAACAAGTATTATAACTATGAAAACCTAATTATATGTTTTAGAAATAAAACCATTGAAGACATGTCTAGCAGCGATTTTTCAACACCTGAAAGGATCAAAAAACATTTTAGAGTGTTAAAAAATACTGTTAAGAGTCAAAAAAGTAAAATAAAGTATTTACAACAATATGTAAGAAGAATGAAAACAAAAATTACATCCTATCTAAAATGATTAAAGATTTATAAGAGCCCGACTTATGTCCTTTCTTGTTGAAATGAACATTTTATCACGAAGTCAGTTCAGCTTTTTATCTAATAAATGTACCAGTGATGCTATGTTTTCTGTACTACATGAGGTCTATTAAGCACTAAACAATAATCTTTACGCTGCCACTGTTTTTTTGAGACTATGCCAAATCTTTTGATTGTGTAATTCACGACATTTTGATAAAAAAACTAAATTTCTACGGAATTCGAGGTATTTCTTTGAATTGGTTCCAATCTTGCTTGAGAAATAGGAAACAAGCAGTTAGAGCAAATAATACTGACTCTAGACACAAAAGCATGTATGTAGAGTACCGCAATATTGAGTACTGGGTCCTCTACTTTTTCTTATATTTAGCTTTTCATGCAATTAAAACTTCTGATCAACTTAAAATAAAAACCTGGTCCGACTATAATTTACTTTCTTTTAACATGAATAAGACAGTAGCATTATCCTATAAAGGAGCTCTTCAACCCTTGCTTCTTAATAACAGCCAGATCAGTATCGTTGTTTCTTTAAAATTCATGGTATTTTTACAGACAGCAACCTTAAATGGTTCCTTTATATCGATTTGTTAAGTAAGAAACTAATCTCAGCCAGCTATGCAATACGATCTGTTTCGAAGCTGAATTTAGCATCTTCCAAAATAACATATTTTTCTTTGTTCGAGTCTCATCTTCGATATGGCCTTCCTTTTTGCGGTTCTAGTACAGCTACCCAATATAATGTTATTTTTAAATTACAAAAAAGAGCAACACGGTATCTTTTTGGCCTCAGTAAAATAATACATTTTAGAAGCTACATAAAAAATCACGGGATTTTAACTTTTCCCTCTTTGTATATTCTAGAAACTCTTTTCTTAATTGGTAAACACCTACATGTTTTTTCAGCAAGACCCAATCATGAATGGTCCACCAGAAATTCAACCTTTGATATGTATTTATCGATTTTGTCCACTGAGTTAGTAAATAAATCTATATTATATTCGGCAAAAAAATTATACAATTAATTCCCTTTGCAACTTAAATCTACAACTTCTTTCCTTAAGTTCTGTAAATTAACAAAAGCCTATCTATCTGAAAGACCATATTATTCAGTGGAAGAGTTTCTTAACGAGAAATTAAGAAATTACAGTACGTTTAGGTACAAGAAACTAAAGTATTATATATTTGGGTATCAAATGCAGCAACTAAAACTTATTCGTAAACTACTTCCTAAGGTTTTATTATGCAATTTGCAATTTAGTTAGATTTTGCAATGAATTGTAAATTTTATTATCTTTTATTATATGACATTGACCATTTTTGTAATTTTAGTAAAGTTTAATTGTTATTGTTATTTTTTTTTACTTTTTGTAAGTTTCGTTCATAAAATTGTACAATTTTCAGTGACAATAAAGCATATTTCGATTTTAGAAACCTACCCCATCCATAAGGTTTAATGTGTTTATATATTGTTGTATATGTGGTTTGTTGTTCATGTTTTGTTAAACAATAATTTATGTTTTCTTACGTTTATTAATATTTTCTTAAATACATATTCCTGAACTTTTATCTTTCTTCTGCCCACTGCTATGTCTAACATGACTTCTAATGTTGCCAAATAACAATTAATCTGGAGTTATAAACCATAATTCACTATATTTTTTCAACGTATCACTTACTGGATAAGAGAAGAACATACTCAATACCCTGAACAGGTTAATGTTTGGGGAAGAATTTTTTAAACTTTTTATTGCTTGTGTATTATTTTAGTTTAAATAAAATATTATATAAAGTACTTTGCGATTTTATTTACCCCATCTTTATTCTTTTGTGTAAATCAATTTTTATAAATATATTTATTTCTATACACTGAAAATTAAAATTATTCATCGTTCGTTGTTTCTCACTTATTCGAAATATTTTATATGTTTACGATACTAAAAATAAAAGCAATCAAACCAATAGTCATTATTTATTCAAATGAAAAAACTGTTTCAAATACCTTTCAATTATTGGAAGGTACGCCGATGACTTAAAAGGTAATGTCACAGTCTATCACCTCGCCTCTTTCCCCGCGCCTATAAACTTTTCGACTTCAAATTTAGGCGAACAGAGTGCAGGGCATGCCCAGTCCATCTTTATTTATACGTCCATGATACAAACAATTTTAAATGGTGTAGTTAAATGCAATACTTGTATTTTCATTGCTTACAATAATAATTTTAATTAAAAATATCTCTTTTAAAACAGTTTTTATTTGTTTTGATACAATTGTACTTTTAGCACTTTCGTTTTATGTTAGCCCTAAAAACCAATGTATTTAAAGAAAAGAAACTTCTTAGCAATTACAAATCGGATATTATTTGACCACTCTACAAAACAAAATAAAAAAATCATCATGACACAACCCTCTTGTCCTGAGCCTATCAATCTTCTACACAGACTTTAACCTTTGATTGAAAATATTACCTGATAAGGCCATCATGTATTTATTTTGCTATAAATCTAAATGAAATTAATATGCAATTTTGTAATCAACAAATTTTTCACATTAATGAGACACCCAGTATACAGTATACAATATTATTGTTTACTTGTAGAAACCAGGAGGTAATGATAAGCTACCAGTACTCTTTTGGATACATGGAGGAGGACTCAATTGGGGATCTGGCACTTACAATGATTATGGTCCAAAATATATCATGGATTATGGAATTGTTGTTGTTGCTATTAACTACAGACTCAATGCATTTGGTAATATTTGTTTAGTTATGTTATTTTGCAACGTTATATTATAGTAATCGTACTAGGACGCACCCCCGTTAAACAATGATGTATTTATATTTAATTTTTTTACTATACGGTAAGGTTTTTGACGTACATTTTCCATTTATTTACAATACTTATTCCGGAATTCTGGAATCCTCCATCAGTATATACTTATATACTTAGTTAGTATATAAGTATATACTTATATACTAACTTATAGATTAAGTCAATCTTCTTCTTTTTGTGCCGCATATTTACAAGCAGATTAATGTTTTTAAGTCCACATAAGGTGGGTATACATAATATGTGACCCGAACTGTTCGCAAACCGTTTAAGAACGCTATATTCGTATAATTTGTAATGCACGGCGAGATGTTCGTCGCTCGTCAGGAATCAAGGCCTGTAGGTTTTTGGAATGAGCACAGAGGATATTCGCAGTTTAATTTGAACGGTGTTGGCAGCCATATTGTCTGTTTGTATCATCGCATCGAGATTTTGTGACTTGTTCTTAGTTTGAATTTAGTGTATCTTTTTCGGCATGAACCCAAGTTTTCCATGATGTCACAGTGGTCCGAGAATTAATTTATGGAACTTGTTGACTTAAATAAAAACAAGAGGATACCTTAGGATCAGACAAACCGTGATCATTTAAAAAAAAAAAACTTAAAAGATGATGCATGGTGCAAAATAGTCTATTTCTTAAATTACAACCCTATTGACATCCTTCAGGTGTGAAAAGAAAACGCCCTCCACAGGGACCGTGAAACAGAGAAGGATGAGTTGAATAAATCAGAAACTCTAAAAACATAAATTATATTTCATCAAATTGTGAAAGTAATTCTTATGCTGCCATGCAATGCCTTGAAGATTGGGATACTTCCAATGAATACACAATATGCTTGCACTTCTACACAAACAAAACACTTCGTACAAGTTGGTTTGTCATTTTTTATGGATCGTGACGAGTTTGCAATGATGAGTTCGCTGTTAACATATTTTCAACGAACTGTTCGCTAGTAGTTGTGCAACAAACAGTTCGGCTCGCATATGGGTATCCATCTTTATGCAGCCAGGATATCTGTCTTCTATCGACCCAGCATTTTACTTCGATTTTAATCTGAATGATCAACCGGAGTAAGCGATATTTAGGTCCTCTCATTATATGACCGAAGTATTGGACCTTCGTCATTTTCATAATTTTGATGCATGATCCTTGTAAATATTATATGTCTTTAGCACGTGTGCGTTAGAACACCCGAACGCTTCTAATGTCTTAAGATTTTTATTTTGGTTAACCAGGTTTTACATCCGTAGAACAAAGCGGATTAGACGTAGCACTTTATTAAGTTAAGTCAATAGGTAACATATATATTTGGAGTCGTTTGGTAGTCTCCAAAAAGTATTTACCGCCTGCAATCTAGTGCCTCACTATCAAGTAAGATGTGGTTGACTGTTTCAGGTTCTCTGTTACAAAGTTTTAAGATTAAGACTCTATGAAGCAGCCACATGGCATTCCGCTTTCCCAGTAAGAGTTATATTTTGTTTCGCATCCTGGTTTTTTCCGGTCACGTACAGTGCGTGTTGGCACTCTCACGGCCACGTTACCTCTTCTAATAACCGTTCTAGGATGCAATCGCGTTAGACGATGAGTTTACATTAAGTGTTAAAACTTGGGAAACAGTAGTTAAGAGTGGTTGATGAAAAGATTTGAGAGAAATAAATAAGGATAAGGTAATTTTATTAAATTAATATTCTTGGATAAAATTAGTGTGTACAAGCGTTATTTTAGATAGTTATAATAGTTGAAGAAACACCTCTAGATAAAGAAAGTAGGGAAAACACTCACATGCTAGGTTTAAACTGGATATTACTTGTAAAAGACAGTTAGGCAAAAAAAAGAAAAAAGAAAAACTTAAATTTTTTTAAACCGAATGAATATTGTTTTCGCCCATTTTACAACACTAAAATGTGAAAATCATAAATTATTTTTCTCTGTCCATCGGTCCGTAAATACAACTTCTCTGATATTAGAGCAGATATAAGGACAAATGATGTTTCAAATGAAAACGGGTACTTAAAGATAGCATTAATGGTGAGAAATTTGACCTCGGGCTTCCGGATCCACAGTTGCAACCACAAGTACTGTTTTAAAGTCGCCGAAATATTACAAGTGATATATTATTCGATGCACCGTAACCAGACGAGAAAATTTAATATACATCTGGTTTCATGCTTCTCTCTTCGATCTCCTGTCTCTTCAAGTTTGACAACAATGAATCAAAGTTAGTGAAATCGTTTATCAATCGACACAAATCATGACGCGACGAGTTCAAATATCGACGTCTCGTTCTACTTTTCTACTTCCAGTTACGTTGGGTGCAAACCTAGTACTTAAGAAGTCCAATTGCTTGTTTTTTAATATGTAGTGCATAGTACAATTTGATATTCTCTCATATCTCTCCCCCTCTTCGTGCGTGTGTAACTCCAGTGTAAATTATGAAACTATCGTCATTTATTAACCATTCTTTACTAAAAGTATTAATTTTTTCTTGACCGTTTAATATGTATCTGCTATATAGATTTATTGTTAATAGGATTTGTTTCTACTGACGACGACGTAATACCTGGAAACCTTGGACTTAAAGATCAACGATTTGCATTAGAATGGGTCAACCAACATATTAATCTCTTTGGTGGCGATCCGGATCATGTAACAATTGCTGGTGAAAGTTCTGGTTCAGCGGCAGTAGGTTTGTTGGTTATGGGAAATTGGAATGGCGAGAAAGGTAAGTCCTCTTTTTGACGAAAGATATAGAAAGATATGTTCTCGGAAGTAAATGCAATAAATGTAAATCTAATGTTTACGAAACTTTTATTTATACAAAAGTCTAAATAACCTACACTAACCTAAATAATAAATATTATACTACAATGATTAATTAACTTAATCGTAAGATAACAATATAAAATATTTGAAATAATTTGTGTAACATGAAGACATATTTAAAAAACCCATATTATGATACATACTGTATACTTATAAGTAGTTTATCTTTACGATCACAATTAAGATTTGATTAAAAAACTTGGCAGCGGTGGGATTCGAACCCACGCCTCCGAAGAGACTGGTGCCTTAAACCAGCGCCTTAGACCGCTCGGCCACGCTACCTTGTGCGCAGATAATTTGTCTTGTATGAGGAACATAATTATTAAGTTTCACATTAAGGTAGGAATGAATATCTTTTCAATAATTAAAAAAATATATTATTATAATCGAATGATAAAACTAGGAATTAAAATTTAAAATTAATAAAATAAAAAACAAAAATTTGTTTCCGCCCGGGATCGAACCGGGGACCTTCCGCGTGTTAGGCGGATGTGATAACCACTACACCACGGAAACTTATTGATGGATTTAAAAATACCGCATGAATGAACGTATTTACACGCTCTTATATTACTTTTTCTGCAAAGGTAAAACAGTATAAATGTGAAAAAATGAGTTTTGTCATTTATAAAGTTAGATAAATAAAATTTGAAATATCAAAAATTATATCCCAGATTTAGCCATACGGCTCACACTCCCTCTATGGGAAAAATTCACTCATTCAAGATACCTACGGTATCAAAAGGATTGAGTTCTGGTGGAACTCTTTCCGTGTCATCGAGCCCTAGGTGACTTGATATGTAGGAGTATCTCCCAACAATTTTCGTACACATCTAGACGTCGCGGGAGTACGCTTCTCATGGCCTAGTGATGTTCATTTAGACCCAGATGTTCTCTAGGGAGTTTTGCGGAATAACACCAGTACTAGATAGAACAATAGGTACTATCTGGGTACTTTCTATTCTCAATTGTCTCCTGATGTGTATTCCTAGATTTCTGTACTTGGCGATTTTTTCGTTGTATTTAACACGTAAATTATTGGTATTGGGAATCGCCACATCAATTAGTGTTGTTTGCCTAGTAAGTTTACTAACTAGTATGAGATCCGGTCTATTATGGGCCACTAATTGGTCTGTAAGCACAGTGCTGTCCCAATATAGCTTGTAGTTGTCATTTTGAAGCATTCTGCCAGGGACGTATTGATAATAAGGAAGATGGTCGGTTTGGAGAAGTCCCAGTTTGTCAGCTAGTTCTTGGTGGATAATCTTTCCTACTGAGTCATGGCGTTCTTTATAATCAGTACCGACAGATTCCTGGCAGCCACCGGTAAGATGTTGGATGGTTTCTTGGGCTTGGAATCCATATCGGCATTTGTCATTTTGGACTTGAGGATCTTCAACAATATATTTCAGGTAATTTTTAGTTGGAATAACCTGATCCTGAATGGCAAGTAAGAAACCCTCAGTCTCAGAAAACATCTTTCCTGATGTCGACCAATAGTTCGACGCTGTATTGTCGACATATTCTTGGCTGATCTCATTTAGAGGTCGCCAATGCAGAGGTTTACTCATCCAAGCGTGCATTTTTTCTTGCTGTGTCAGATGGTTTATGCGAATTTCTTGATCCCTCAGTTTAAGCGGCGTTGTATCATATATATATATATATATATATATATATATATATATATATATCCGGTTTTTTAGGCGTTACGCCCGTCCGGTAGGGATCTATGGAGGAGTATCACCGAGCCGCAAGCCCTTATCTCTTGCCGTACTGCTCCACCATAGGCCGATCAGATCCCAGCATATCCTAGTCTAAGCCGCAGATTCATCTAGAATTTTAAACTGCTGCGTTAGACTTTTTGTTTTCCGTACACCGAGCTGGGGCTCGACCCACATCCAGTGAACCATTCGACAGTGAAGCGAATGAGAGGCAGCCGCACAGCCCGCTGAGCTATCTGACCGACTGGCGTTGTATCATCTACTGCGCAAATTGCTCGATGTAAAGTAGATATCTCAGCCTGTACCATAAAATAAGTTCTTAAATTAGCAATTTGTTTATACAGTTGCTTACCTATATCCATAAGTTCTTTTCCCCTTGATACCGCGGTAATGTTATTCTCTCTACTGCACTGTGTGGATGATATTTTTGTGCCTTTGTGAGAAGTGTCCTTACTTTCTGCTCAAGATCCTCTATATCCGTTTTTGACCACTTTAAAATACCAAATGAGTAGCTCAGCACAGACAGGCGTAAGTATTTAATTAATGCCTTAAACAAATTTTTACTATTAAGTTATGATGACCAATGTAGTTATCTTACTCTTCGCACGAACTCCGAAGTTCGTTCAGTTTTCATTTGTTTATGGTCAATTTTCACCGCTTTTTTTGCTCCGAGATATTTGTACATAATATTATTTTCATCCACTGCCTTGATGTTTTGGCCATCTTGCTTATCGAAACCTCCGGGTTGAATCTTTCCTCCGACTATAGTTAGTGTACGACACTTGTCTAGTCCAAAATGCATACGGATATTATTTGAGAAATTTTCTACAGTTTTTAGCATCTGAGCTACGTGGTTTCGAGTGGAAGCTATTAATTATTCATGCACAACAGATGTCTAAGCTTCGCCACAACAGTATTGTTATTTTTGATACTAAATCCTGAGTCATTGAAGGTTAGTAGCTGAGATAGTGGGTTCATCGATAAACGTTCACCGAACCAAATTGGACTCAACGAGTCCCCCTGGAAAAGGTCCCGGTTAATTGGGATATCTTCAGTTTCGATATTGGTTTCACAAGGTATTTTAAGGTTAATTTTTGTCTTTCACTCTACCATTATATGAATTAAAAAGATCACTAGATTATCATTCGATTCTATATTTGTCATAGTACGCCCCAGGTATGCTAGAAATGTGTTGTCTGTAGAGATTTTTAAATACGCAATAATTCTTCAATAAATAAAGACGTATTTGCTAAGGAAAACAATTTATGGCTTTTTAACTTCAACGTTCCCAGAAAAATATTGCAAGCCTGGTATTCTTTTTTCTAAAGCGTAATAACGCCGGAAGTTTGGACGAGTTTGAGTAAAGAATTTGTTGATTTGACAAGATAGCAATGCTTGTGCGGGGAAAAGAGAGGCGGTATCTATCCGGCAGGTTGAGATCGAGGTCAAGAGAGTTAGTGATGAAGAATTGCTCGAAGGGAAAGGTCGTTTAATTGTGATGTGGTAACCCGGCATTAATTCGCCAAAAATGGTGGAATTTTCACTCTATGTAATATGTCGTATTTGAAAGAGTGACCACTAACCACTGTTTTGATTTTGCTGAAGATTTATAATGTTTGAGAAGTGAACAAGTTTAGTTCCTGCTTTCTTTTCGTTTTTTTTTTGAGAAATCCTGTTCCTTTCCAAGATGCCTCTTCACCTCACGTAGAATGATATTGGAGCAGTTTTGATTTGAATGTGCCAGTGTGCCAGTTTCAGCCTCCAAGAAAGTTTTCCGTTGATGATGTTCAGTTAGATACCCCACAGATACCTATTAGCCAGTTGTTCAAAAGTTTAAGTTAACATGTGTGAACTGAGGTAACATTTACGTTATTAATTTTTAAAGTAAAAATAGACATTTTCTTTTAAAAAGACAAAATTTGCTTTCTTTTATAAATTATTTTTTTTTTTAAATTTGTAATTAAAATAAATATTATGTTAGGGAGTCGGTTTAAACTGTCATCGGTCATAATTTTATCCTGTCTTAAAAATGTTTGTTTTGACGTATGACAGTTTGATTTTGAATCTGTTGTAAAAGATATTTTGATTTTATAGTAAAGATTAAATTTTATTTTTCACAAAAGGATATCCATAAAATTTTAATCTAATTTGGCCACGTTATTTACTAGGAACCATTTCGAAGGTTTTTGTAACCTCTTTGTAAACAGATAACATGTAAGTTTCTTTATTTGTATTTGACAACTATTTTTATATAGTATGCCTTTTGTATAAGCTGTATTTTTGAAAACTGTTTGAGACAATAATAAACGTTAGATTTGTTTCTCTAACCTATTTTTTTATTTTTATTTAGAAAAATCTCCTAAACCCTTTTTATGTATTTTAGATATTAGGGAAGAAGAATTTTTTCTTTCCTTCAGTAAACTAGGATCCTTCAAGTGGCGCCCTATATTAAATTCCTTGAGGTGTTCCCAGTCTATTTTTGATTTGTTTGTTATATCAATTGCCCAGGAGATTTATGTAAGTATCCCTTTGTTTTCATCTTAGTAGATACCCCAATCCAACCCCCATATTTCAACTTATCCACGACCCAGCTCTCCAACAACCAACTGAGTGTCGTTCGCACTTGTTTCGATTATTTTGTTTGCCCAATCTTCTACCCCTCATGTTCTTACCCTGAGGTAAGCAAAATATTGCCATCACAAATAAAGGCAGTAAAAAGATTCCTTTTTTGGAGTATGCCTGGTTAGAAATGACTAAGTCGATAATAAGTTTAACCCATGGAGCCCTTAGCACATAGTTTCTTTTGAAGCCATATGATATTGTTTAGAGCACAGTGTTGGTAGATACGCCGGACTACACATGATGTAACCAATTTGTACAAAGTTAAAAGACAAGTAATTGGGCAGTACTTAGCTGGACCTTGGGTGTTATTTTTATCCTTTGGTATTAGGTAAGTGGTTCTCTGTGTAAAAAATGATGGTGTTTCTTGCGGATTAGAGACAACATGATTTATTAATACTAACAAACACTCATGAACACTCCAAAACTTCTTTAACCAGAAGTTTTAAACTCCGTCTGGTCCAGGAGATTTCCAGTTATGAAGCTCTTTGATAGTATTTGAGACTTATTCGATGGTGAAGGGTTCATAGGAAATAATATTGAAATGTTGACAGTTGATGGTTGTGTCTTCAATCCATCCAGCATTTGTGTTATGAGTAGCTGGCGTTGGAAGTTGATATACCCAGAACTCATGAATTTCTTCCTGCCTTGGGTATGTCTTCTTTCATAAATATCTTCTCTGTATGCTCAAACAGTATATTGTCGCATTTTCGGTTGTTACTTACTTTGTTTCTCCTTAGGCGGCCTGAATAAACGGAAAGTTTTTGTTTTAATGTGTTCAGGCATTGTTGTCGTGTGTTATTTTCTGGATCATTTTGTGAGTGTCTTAGAATGTTTCGCAATATCTCTTCAGCTCACTTGATGATTTTTCTACTTCTTATTTCCCGTGTGTATTCCGTTTTTTGTCCAATGTCCCTACGATATGATTCAATTTTCCTTAGCAGCCGTTTTTCCCTAGGTTATTTTTAAAAACGGAATATACTATACAAAATAGTTGTTTATACGAAATATATTTTTTGCTTATATTTTTGCGTCCCTATTATTTTTTCACATCATAACTTTGCAAAATTCAGTGTTGTAATATGTCAATGGGACAATTTTCACATAAAATCTAGATTTTTTAAACAGTAATACATTTCTAGAATTATTCCATGCTGCAATACAAGAAAGTGGATCAATGATTGGTGGAACTCTACAGACAAATGCAAAAGAAAACAGTATAGGTTTAGCAAAATATCTTGATCCTACATTTGAATCTGAAAAATCTGAAGACGTTTTAGAAGTTCTCAAAAAGGCTTCTGCAGAAGATATTCTAAAGGTAAGATAATGGTGTCAATAAGCAGCCCTCTTCTATGTTAAGGTTTGGGTATACATGAATAAATGATTGTGTGTATATTTTATATAATTTTATACTAATAGTATAATATCCTTCTGCAGTATCACTAACGTAGTTAGTCAATCTCAAATTTTTACATACATTTAAAATTAGGAGAATACGTTGACAATAAGTTGCTAGTAAAAAACTGGCCGCAAATATTTTTACTTTAAATAATAGCTGCTCATGGTGCAAATTTATATTTTTTACATTAAACTAAGGCCAATTTTTTTAATACGACGATATAAAATTGCCTGAAAAAAAATGGTCGCAAAGTAGGGTTTGCAGCTATTAAAAATGCGAGCAAACAGATATAAAGAGTAAAATATAGTTAAGCGTGCAAAGAAGATGATATTGTGTATATTATATATATACATCATTCACATCATTCCTCTTGACATTGACGGGTACTAACTGATTTTTCATACCATCTTTCTATCAGTTAGCCCTAGACTCCAACACAGATCAGAGGTAATGTAAGTCAATAAAACCTCACCAACTACAGGGGGTCATATAAGATGCCCCCAGTTTCATTTTTTAATATTACACAAGTCAAGAGTCTATTGCATTTACCTGAATAAATAACATGAAGAAGTTTTTTATGTGGCCATACAATGTTTTTTAACAACTTTTTATTAAACTGATGATGGAATGATACAATTCCGAAAAGATCTTCTTTATAATAAAAAATTTTAAGCTTTTAATAAGCGCTTTTTTTATACCTTAATACACACGAACACCACGTGCTTTGTATTCAACAGGTATACTAGCCACTCCTGGATATCTCCACTTCATGGTTTGTTCCAGTTTCACTTTTAAATATATGAGCCGCTGAGAGCAAAAGTGGTGTAAGTCAAAAAATCAAGTTCTCAGCAAATTAGTGCTTTACTAGAAACTCTGTATACACGAATGTTTTTCTGTAATTTGTTTTTTGTTTGCTCAAGTGAATGTATAATACATTGCTCATGCTTATATTATGTATTTTTACGTAATAATCTCCATAATGGAGATTTTATTAGCCTCTCAAATGACTTACACCACTTTTGCAGTAAACTTACCTAATGGTAATGACTTACACCACTTTTACAACAAACGTGTTTAATGATTAGGTGTCATTTATGACTTGCATTGAAGTGATGTTAGACTAAATTTAGATGGAAAGAATTATACATTGGTTTTGAAATTGTTTATTAAAAAATGTGAAGTAATACAATTTTTTTTTCTGTTAGAAGATTAAAAAAACTAAGAGAAACCGGTATAGAGGGAAAACAGTATTAAAGTTAAGAACTGGTGCCTCCGTTCTCATCATCGAATGCCTCTACATGTTCTAATGGTCCCACGTCATCCACGTTCTCCGTTGATGTTTTTAAAGTGTTATAAAATGCATGGTGAATCGGAGGAATATAGGGTAATAAATCTTTCATATCGTTTTTCTTTGCTTGTGTAATAGGCCTAGGGCAATTAAACAACCGACGTTGTTGAATTTCATAAAAAGGTTGTGATGATCCTTTCGTTTTCGGCAACTGCAACTTAGAAAAGTCTTCTATGTCACTTAATGTTTCCTTATACAACATTGTATGAGGACAGTTTTTTGTGAAACGCATCCATTGAATTTGCAACCAGTTAATTGACTTTCCGTCTGTATTTAGTTTATTTCTTCGTACCGATTTTTCCAACTGTAATGTACTTTTAAAATCTTCTTGTTTCATTACGTGAACGTTAAACTTATTTTTTCTTCTAGCAGTACGGATGGTTTCATACCAGTCATGTGGAGTATAATGTAATTGATTTTTCGCGGCAGATTCAATGTTTCCAAAGTCAGAATCGTTCTTCATAAATGAGTGACCAGACACTAGAAATTTGTGATCTATCACTTCAATGTTGTTATTAGGATCCATTACCATTTTAAGCCAAGTTAATGCAACTTTAAAATTACGGTTTTGCCCCGTGCAAGCATCGCTAAACGCTATTATGTGTTTTTTACCGTCTGCCTCACATTTCAAATGTTTTGTTAAGCATGATGCAATTTCCTGGGATCCTCTAGAGGCCATAGTTTCGTCCCATACATACATCCACGCTTTATCGCTAGACAAGTCATGAACTCCTAAATTGTAGCAATATAAATTTCGTTTGTAGTACGCAATTGACGTTGTCAATCTGGGGAAAGGCAAAGCTTTCTGTAAGTCAAACGAAATTACATGATATCTATTATCAAATTCAGCCAAACGTGCATCGCTTTTCATTTCAGCTCTGGCCTTTTCAGCTTTTCTTAGATGTATTTCATGATTGGCTCTCAAGGTTGCTTTATCAGATTCGTCAGCTGCGGCTATGCGTAATTGGAATCTATCACACTGTTGACAGGTGTCTTTTCTAGGATGGTGAAAATATAGGTTTTGCTCAGAAAATATTTTTCTGTACACGTTTTCACTGACTGGTTGCAATCCATCTTCGAGGCATTTTTCTTTGTACAAAGCAAACATCTTTCTAACATTAAGACAGGGATCTAAGTATCTTCTATTTGGGTTATGAGTTCTCGTATAATGGCTGCTGTATGCAGGAAAACTGTTAATATGATTTGTTACAAACTCAACACGCGCTTCATCAGTTTTATTGGAACTTGCATTCTTTCCTCTTAAATCTTCCCCTACTTTGCCAGACTTTTCTTTCTGCAAGGCTCTTGTCATTCTACCATCAGAAATTTGAAATGTTTGCAAAAAATACTGCTTACAAACAATCTGACTGAAGCCTTCAATGTTCAAAAAATACTTATGTGTACAGCCCTTCATTCCTCTACTTCCATTACGCCTTCGTCTATTCGCAACTTCTAGTCTTCGTACTAGGCCACATATATAACAGTTTTGTCTTTTATAGTCACCCATAGCCCAAAATGTGTCAAAGAGAATTTTCCGACTGGCCTCACTAACTTTCTCGTAACATTTTTTATTGCACTTACAGTCTTTATTGTCAAATATTTTATTCTTACCAGCATTTCTTTCTGCCTTTTTAACATTCCTTTTCCACAACAAAGAATTTCTTGTTCTTTTCAGAACAATATCTGGATCGTTTTCACGAACAGAAGATTCTCCAGTGGGTAAAACAACCGTAGCATTAACTTCCTCTTGATCATCTGGAACAACAAAAAGTAGTACTTAATTTACCAGAAATTATAGGTACACATTTATACTACCTATCAACTAAGTTATCAATTTATGTATGATCAAGTATCTACTAAAATACCAGGCACAACAAATAAAAAAGCTATTATTATCTAAACAATGTCAAATACTTACCATCACTACTATTACTACTTTTTGATTCGTTTGGTTCAACGTAATCTAAGTCTGTTATGTCGTCATCTGAATCAAAGTGGAAATTTGATGACATAATTACTATATTTCTAATTACTTTATGTATAATTAATACAAAATCAAATGGAAACTTATTTGCAACAGTAAATATAAGAAAAATGCTTTAAAAAATAATGCAGTTCTTAATGACAACCTAACCGTATTTTAATGACTTACACCACTTTTGCACACCACAATATCAACATTTTATACCCAAGTTCAGTATATTTCTGCCATCTAGTAGGAAATAGTGAAAGTTAGACGTACACCACTTTTACAGGTAACGGTATGAGGTTAAAGCTATTACATAGTGATGTAAGTGCAAACTATACAAAAAATGACTTACACCACTTTTGCTCTCAGCGGCTCATATATATATATATATATATATATATATATATATATATATATAATATATATATATATATATATATATATAATAACCTCCTCCTCAGTCCTAATCCTTTTTGGAATGTGGTGGCATCATCAGGCCTTCACAGTTTTTTTACGATTTCCCACTTCTTCCTGCTAGTTGCTCCTTGTAACCCTTGGTTAATCAATATTTTTGTTTGATCTACCCAACGGCTTGAAGATTTTCCCTGGGTCTCTTTCCTTCAACTCTACCCTCGACGATCAGTTTTTCCATCGTGCCTGTTCTTCTAGCAATGTGTCCAAAATACTGCAAATATCTCTGTTGTATTTGTTTAAGCAATTTATCCTTTACTTTAAGTTGTTCTAATATCGATACGTTAGTGCGATGATCAATCCAGGATATTCTCAACATGCGGCGGTATACCCACATTTTAAAAGCGTCCAGTTTATTTTTATCCTCTTTCTTTAAGGTCCACGTTTTGGATGCATATGTGGGTACGGGAAAAATGAGCGCCCTTACCAGCCTTAGTTTTGTGTGTATTGTTATGCTAGAATTTTTCCAAGTTGCTATCAGTTTCATCATGGCTTTTCTAGCAATAGTCAACCTTCTACGTATTTCTCTGTCACACCCTCCGTCATTTGTTATTAGGAACCCCAGGTATATGAAAGTATTTACTACTTCAAATCCACCAATTTCTTTAATGTGTTGAAGATTATTCCAAGCTCTGTCTACTATCATGATCTTTGTCTTACTACTATTTAGCTTTAGTCCATATGTTTTGCTTATATATATATATATATATATATATATATATATATATATATATATATATATATATATATATATATATATATATATATAAGTAAATTTTCAATATTGGGTTTGCAGCAATAAAAATGATACGTGTACTCTTTTAAATTTTTATTCCGAGCTTCCGGACATGGTTATGTCCTTCATCAGGGAGAAACCAATGTCGATAAAACTTATCACAGTCTGTCATATTTTTACATAAAACTTATTCCTATATTTAAAATTTTTAAAAATTGCTTTACAATCACAAACACTTACTTATTATACACACATTTCTGACATTTTTATTCTTAATTAAGAAAATTAATTAAGTTAATTAATTAACAAAAAAAGTAATGTATATATATATATATATATATATATATATATATATATATATATATATATATACAGTGCTAGTCAAAAGTCCGTTC